AGAAAAATATTAGAAAAACAGTCCTTGTGGCAGAAAAATAGTACAAAAATGGTCCTATGCAGAAAAATATTACAAAAACAGCCATTATGGCAGAAAAATAGTATAAAAATGGTCCTATGCAGAAAAATATTACAAAAACAATCCTTATGGGAGAAAAATAGTACAAAAATGGTCCTATACAGAAAAATATTACAAAAAGAATCCTTATGGTAGAAAAATAGTATAAAAAATGGTCATATGCAGAAACATATTACAGAAATGGTCCATATGACATAAAAATATTTCTTAAATGGTCCCAAAACATTGACATAAATAGTCCCCGTGGCAGAAAAATATTACTGAATTGGTCCAAAAATAATTGCATAAGTGGTACCTGTTGTAGAAAAAGATTACAGAAATCCCACTGTGGCAGAAAATTATTAAAAACTGGTCCCTATAAACAAAAACAATTATATAAATGGTCCGGAAACAAATATAAGTAGTAATCAAATTTTTAACAATTTAATCCTATGAAAATCCTTCCAAACAACGGAAACAAAGTACTAAAAAATGCATTCGACAAGCATTAAAGTACTACAATCTAATCAAACTTTTAACAAAAACTCATGATCTTTTGTGTTCTTTCATCTTGCTAGTGGATGCATCATTGGAACCTTGAGGTGCAGGATTATTGCATGTCCTTTCATGGTGTCCAAACATACCACAACGCGAACATCTATGTCTTTTCTTGGGCTCATCATGTGGTACAATTATGTTCTTTTTGGGTTGTCCTGGAGGCCGTTTTATAATAGGTGGGTATATCTTCTCGATTGTCTCTATATGGAACCATTGATCCTTTCCCGGCATTGGAGCAACTTCTAAAGCATATACTTCTTTAAATTTATGAATTGTGAAATATGTATCAACATATTTACCCCAATTAGGCTCCCTTGTGAAAGCAATAAACGCAGCTACATGCACACACGAAAGTCCTTTAACTTGCCAAACTCGACAATTGCATTTTTTCACATCTAATAAAACATCCCAACTTTTACCCTTGTAGTTCACTTGTGCTCAATTGTCACTGCTTCGACAAACCTCAAAGTTACCTAAGTTCTACATGAGAAAATAAAACAAGTATAAATAATAGAAGTGTAAGTTGTTATTTTTTCACAAACCTAAATAAAATATAATTAAATAATAAATGATAAATTTCTTGAACTTGCCTTACAGATTCTATTGAGGTAGTTCTTTGCTTTTGGTACTAATGTTCCTTTCCATTTGTTCACAATCTTCCTTTTCTTGTCAAATCGTTGCATAAGCTTTTCTCTTATTGCAACAAGGAGATCGAGCACCGGTTTATAACGTATGTCACCTACCCAAGAGTTAAAAGGTTCTGAAATATTGTTTGTAATATAATCACACTTGACAAGTGTACCAAACTTGCTTCTACTCCATATCTTCTTATGGGTCTCATTCAAATATAAAATTACATCTTTACGCACACTAGCAATTTCGTTTAACAATCTATCATGCTTATTAATGGAGTAGGTCTTTGCAGCACTACATAGCCTGGTCATGAAATAGTCACCTCTAAAGTGTTTCTTGAAGTTGCTATGTAAATGTCTTATGCATTCACGATGCTCAGCATTAGGATAAACCTGTGTAATAGCTACTTCCAATCCTTTTTGCATGTCAGAGGAGATAACATGACCGTTTGGTGTACCGATTGCCTTTTGTAGTGACTTAAAAGATCAAGTCCATAATTTTGTATTCTCAGACTCAAGCACACCATATGCTACCGGAAATATGCCATTATTACCATCAATACTTGTAGCAGCGGCTAGCACACCAGTAAATTTTCCTTTCAATTCAAAAGCATCAATCCCAATGTAAGGACGACAACCAGCAAGAAACCCCTTAGAGCATGCAGTTAGTGATATAAAAAACCGTAAGAAATGTTTTTGTCACCCACTGTCTGCAAATCAATCTCCACAACACTTCCATGGTTTCTTTGTTCAAGTTCCTATTTTAAATCATATATATTTACGTAAGAGTCATCCCACTTTCCATGCATATCACTATAAGCTTGTTCTCTTCCTCTAAAGAATCTCATATATGGTACTTCAACATTGTAGATTTGCATAAGCCACTTTTTGAGGTTGGCAGGAGATACATCAACATCAGATTTTAGCTTGTCGGTTACAACATCAATTATCCATCCTTGAGTTGCATGTTTGTTACCACACTTGTTGCTTCGAGTAAAAGAATGAGTTTCTAACAATTTCTTAACCTGCAAAATTGCATATAAACATATAATCATGTTAACAAAATAATTTTTCATCATCCGATTCCTCAATAAATTGATCTTCGACACTAGATGGTTTATCCCTTTGTTGTGTAATTTTTTCATTCATCGCATAATTTGTTACTTCTTTCTCCTCCTCATACATGTTAAGCATCACCATGAAGTGTTCATCAGAATCCAGTTTAATAAAACATTGTTCTCTTGCATGCTTGTCAATAAAGACTATTAACAAAACAATATCGTTTTTTGATGGATAATGTTTTTTCACTTTTTCAACTAGTTGATTCAAGTTGTATGAGAATAGATCTATATAGAGAGTTTTTCTAAAACCGAAACAGTACACTTGGCTACATGAGTTCCTGGCAAATCGAAAAAAGCCTCCATATTTCAGTTTAAGTATGTATTTCCATGTTAATTGCCTGATAACCACAAAAGAAAAAACAATTAATGAAATAAATAGGAAACATAAAATATCATCCATCTTGTAGGTAAAATGAGTTGATTGTTAAAATTATTGTAGATACTTACTCAATTATTGGGGAGTGATCACCTATCTCCCATCTCAGTGTGTCTACCTCATCATCCATCAAAATTAATCGAATATAGTAATAGCAAGATATGGAGAAGAAACTATGTTTTATGAACCAAAAGTAATCAATGTAGATACATCATTAATTGAATGCAAAGTTAATCTAATGAAAACTACAATTACTTAAAACAAGTTGACAACCCTGATTAAGATGCAACGATAACAATAGATGAAAAAGAAACTCTATTTTTTGTCAACCAAAATTAATCCAACGTAGATAATAATCGAATGCGAAGTTAATCTGATGCAAAATACAATTACTTCAAACAAGATGGCATACCTACTGTGATTAATGCGACCTGTCGAACTGATTAGACCGGACACGAGATACGCTCTCGAAGAAGCTGATTCCAATATTAAAGGGGCTTTATCGAATTAACAAATAGGATATTGTGTAATCTATTACGTGATTTAGTTTGTGAATTAATTAAGAAATAGTGATTTAATTTGATTTAATTTGAGATTTTATTAGGAAATGGCAAATTGGTAAACTAATATATAATTTTGAATATTAGATAAAAAAAACTAATAAAAATTGATATAATTCTAATTAAGAATTGATTTTGGATATTGAAGTAATTTTTATAGCTTTAGAGGGATCTACATGTAATATCTCGAAGTTTATAAGGATATTGAAGTAATTTTTAGAGTTTGGAAGGATATTGAAGTAATTTTTATTTCAGGTGTTTGTTATGGTTTTACAGCTTCAAGTACATTTCTCCAATTTTGGAAAGCTTTTTTGTATGTGTATGTTTACAACCTTAAGCAAGTTTGTTTAATTAATTATGTAAGCAACAAACCTATTTTAAAAACTTGCTTCGGTTTAACCTATAAGAAATCTATTTTAGTTTTTTTTACTCAAATTTAATCACACCAAGATCTGCCATAGATGAACTTATGATCTGCCATGAAATTGTATATACAGTTAGATTATGTAAGCATTGAATACCTTATGTTTTTTTAATGTATATTGGTTGTATTATTATTAGATTGTTTGTTATAATCATGATGTTGATGTTTTTGACAAGTCTAGTTCTAAGGTAAATAATATTGAGTTGAGCAACTAACCGGCAGGTCATGAGTTCATATATTTCCATTAAGTTTTATTGTTGCATATTTTGTTAAATTATGCTTATTTGTTATTTTTCTTATTCACATTTTTTTCCCAATTAGGATGGTTATGGTAATATTACAGGTGATCATGTTGATGCATTTATGTCTTAGGTAATATATGGGGAATATAATGATGTAAGTCATACCATATGGTTTAACTTATGTAATTTTCTTATGATTGTTGCTTTTGACTTTTACATTTACTCTATTTGTTCCAATACGATAACACGTGATTTGATGCTTCTGGCAATTCTATGACCGCCTCAAACGATGTTGAAGGAAATTAAGTTATAACTTATAACACACTTCTTATGGTATAGAAAACATTATAAATCAATTAGTTTCTTATGATCTTTTGTTTCCTTCTATTTTGGTCTTATATGATGTAGGTGCTAACTGAACAACAATATACTTTTTTAGAACCCATGATAATAGCAATTTACTTTGTTAAGACATTTATGACAATCAACAATATAAGAATGAATTTGGGATGTAATTATACAATAGCTTTGACTTTCTATGTAATGTTTTCTTGTTTTGAACTTGTTCATTTGATTATGTTTTAACCAATTGATGTTCATTTAGTTGATTGTCTTATAAGCTATAGCTATTCTTTTATTCATTCATATGTAATGTAATTGGATAGATTTGTCATTGTATATTGTTAATGTGGGAACAAATGAAAGAATGATGCTATAAAAGAAAGTAAAATTAATCTAATGTTTTTATATTTGTCAATCCGTCCATGTGACGGGTATAACACCGGTTCTTTTAGGTAATGAGTTATACAATCGAACAACTTACATAATAATAATTTCTTTTTGTATATGGTTTAACTCTTGTTGTATCATAAACATAAGGATTTCTATAACTAGATATGATTGTAAATACTCAACAAAAAATATTTTATATATATATATATATATATATATATATATATATATATATATATATATATATATATATATATATATACACACAAATACACCCACCCACCAGGTGGATAGTCATTAAGACAATCATCTAGCTAATTAAGATAACATGGTAATAATTAGAGATATTTACGTGCACTAAACCCCCCGAAAACTGTCACGCGACGACTATATAAACTCAAGCATTCAGAGGGTTGTCATGAATGTAAACCAAACAACATCATCGTCAAGTGTAAAATACAAGAAATAACAACGGTCAGAATTAGTTGGTGACATGAAATCCGCAATGAACTGCCACCAGCAGAGATGTTAAAAATTGAAAAACCTACAAACATATTAAACAACATAATTTAATATTTATTTTATTATTCTATTAAATAGAACTTATTATGTATATTTTTTACATAAACTTACAGTCACGATCAGCCCATCCAATCTGTTGGCCACCCAAATCATAAACGATAACTTTGTCTCGGAGAACAAGGTCTACATCACCGAGTAAAAAAATTAAAAATCAAGAAAAATGAAAACAATATAATTTTATAGGGCTTTATGTTTCATGATTATAATTTATACCTCCTAAAATCGTAATTCCTTTCTCCCGACTCGGCAGAATTCCCATGCACCATACCCTTGCCCCACTCTGGTGTGTTCCAACAACCAAATCAAGATTCATGTACATATAATCCAATTGGGTTGTATTTGTTACACAAGAATGGACATATTTTTTTCACAATGGCATAGGTCCCAATTCTAGTCAAATCAAACAAAATACAATGTATTCTGTTTTATCTTGTCCAACATACGAAATGGGGATTAACATAATGTCATATAACATACCATGGATATTTGGCGTAAAAGATAGTCGCGAGGTCTTAAATGCATTGAAGCACCACCCGCAAAGTTGAAGCTTACTGTGGGAAATATGGTAGTAAAGGAATAACTGAAATAATGATAAAACCTAATTATTAAATAATAAAATTATTTATATATAATAAAATATATATATGACATTTTATAGTATTTGAAGTCTAAAGCCGGTGTAAAGAACTAAAAATGGACCGACGGACATTTAATTAGTAAGGACCAAAAAAGAAGAAATATAAGTGTCTATTTAACTATGAAATTATTTTGAAGGATGTTAACCTTTCGGGAAATGAATAACACACATAGTCCTTTGATATAAGTGGCTGTATAGAGTGTGAAACTGCATGTTTGATCTGCACCAACAAAAGCAATCCCAACATTTAGATAACAAAAGCATGATTTACCATTAGTTAAACATCTAAAATGCCATAAATGATGACCCATTAAGAAAAAAAAAAGTAATTTCATAAAGTTTTGATATTAGAATTTTAATATTGTACTTACAGCTTCCACAACAGGGGTGTAAGCCTCTTTAGTAAGGTATACGAGAGTTGTTCCCGAATCAATTATTGTTCCTGTTTGATCATGATTTAGTGCAAATACCGATGGATCAATTGACATTGTTTGACCATCCACAGAAATGCTCTCTAAATTTACATTATAATGCCACCTGCAAAAGTATATAGAAGGAAATTAGAAAAAGATGGTGTTCCTTTTGATTTTGTTTGGTAAAAGATATATACATGTTTTCTTTTGACTTAATACAAAAAGAAGACATACTTGGATTTGACAAGTGGAGTAAAGACCATATTTGGAACCATTGCTTTACCAAGAACCAACAACCCTCCTCCATCAGCAAGACAATGAGAAAATGAAGTAGGAGCAATCCCTTGTGAAGAAAGTTGGGACATTATAGATAAACCTTGCTGACCAAGTCCCAGAATCCCATCAACCGGTCGTTTAGTTTTAGTCAAGCGCCCAGTTTCAGATGTGCTGCAACTGTTCCATAATTCACCAAATTAGCCGTCTTATTTAAAGAGAAATGAAATTCTATAGTTGATGATAAATGAGAACTTACCCAAATACAACTGAAGCTGAAATATTAATTGACGATTCTGTGTCGATAAATATTTCAAAATGTATCAAGTCTGATACATAATGACCTGATGTTCCACTACCATCTTCATAATTGATATTGTAAGTGCACCAATTATGTGAACATGAGTTGGATTTATCAGATGGAGAACATCTTTTGTCTGAACATGATATAGGAGAGGATGTTGAGGACCTTGAAGGGTCATAGAGCGTAACCGGAATCTGTTCAAAGAAAGAAAAATCATATATATAGTACCAATACTAGTTAATTCACAAAGGTCACACATTATAAGAAACAATGCCATACTTCTAATCCGCTTGATGTCGGGCATTCTTTGCAAGGCTTGCAACCAATCCATAACACGTCACTTCCCGTGTCAATTTGTACGTGATAGTCTTTTGGAGGAGATCCAAGAGTGATTGTTGTGAAGTAAAGCCTAAACGATAAGTAGAGAACCAAGTTACAATATATCAATGCTCATATGACTCACACACACAATCTTGTAAGATGTTAGTTTGAAACAAAATTTGTTAATGAAATTAGCTAAAAGAAGGAAGTTCGAGTTAACCGAATGATGATGATAAGTCTATAATCCAGAAGTTTTGAAAACATAAACAAAAATTGAAGTAAGCTGGAGTACGTACCCAGCAACAAGGGGATCATAAGTCCCGTAAACAGACAATTGAGTAACACCTCTTAATATCCTTTGGTGTCTAAAACTATCTCCATCTCTAAGGTGACTCAACTCAATGGGATGGTTCACCGGAAAAGCTCTTTCCAGCCTGAGGGTCGCCGGAAACTCACATTGAACCACCGCCTGCAACAAGAGGAAGACACCGGCGCCCAGTAATGTGAAAGTAACCATATTTCGGACAAAGTAAGAAATCCGCATTCTCTCGTCTGTCTTCCCCCTACATCATATTAATTCTATGAATCAACAACATGTATTTATAGGCATGTTGTATATAGATAAGGATCCAATTTTTGTGCACATGATTGTATATCATTGAAAAGGAAAACAAACAAACGTTTCTATTTAATTTTTTTTCTTTGTTTTCACTTATCCTATTATTAGAGACACATACTTTGAAAAAGAAAAAAAAAATACAAGTTATCTAAAAGTGAATATTTAATATTTTAATTATCATATGAGCATTGAGCACAAATTAATGCTCCATAGTTTACTTTATTAACGTTTTGAAGTAAACAAGAAACCTATTATTAATTTATGTATTAGGTTATACGGATTGAAAGATACTTGAAGGCGTGTTACATTACATCACACAACATCATTCCAATTCCTAAGTCATTCAAAAAATCAAGTCACTGCTAATAGAAAATGATGTTCATGTTCAAGTCGTTAGGAGATAGTCAAGACTAGGAAAAGAGAAAAAAGGCCCCTGATTCTTCCACTGCATGAATTTATCATTCCACGGAAAAAGAAAAGATATATTGACACTTATACCCCTAATTTTTATTTATCAATATTTAAGAGAGAGAAATATCTTTTTGTTTCCAAACACTTACCATGAATATGAATACATTCCTCCTTCCTTCAATTCAACATTATATTAGTACATCTTCCACGTTTTTAGTGGACATGGCGACCTAGTTTGAGCATTTGCAATCCTCCATTTTAATAACCAATTTTTCATAAATTTTGAATATTTTTTAGAATAAATCAAATCAAAAAAGTTAATAAGCAAATCCGTTTATTAATTCCCAAACTCAAAAACCTTAAGAATAAATAGTAGTTTATAGAAATGCCCACGAAATCACTGTGTGAAGAATTTGTTGGCTAACTATGCAGGAAAAAATCAAGAACACAGGCTAAAAATGGAACAATTTTCTGAGTTATTAATTCTCTGTTGGAATCTAAAATTACATTAGCCAAAACCACACTTCTACTTATATTTGAATAATGCAAATCAATCCTACTATGCTTAAAATAATTAGCAACAAATAAACCCACGTACACTTTCCAGAATGATGCCACTAATCCCATATTCTACATCCAACTGGGAAAAAATATGACAAATTCTTTTGCTCCAAGTTTAGAGTAAAAAACATACCAGATTAACCCAACAGAATTCACCAATGAAACCACTTCAAAATTGAAGACTTATAACTTTGTGGATGGATGTGGAGCGAATTTACCAAGGAAAGTAGTATTTTTTGACACTCACTTCCTCTTGAAAGTTGTAACGCCGAAGGAAGAAGATGAGCCTGCTGAAGATTGCATAGCCAAACCAGGAAGAACAAGCGTGTAATTTGGAAACAATTTTATGGGATATTTCTCTCTCTTCAATATCATTATCTTTAAATGAAGGGTGTATTTGTCATCAGATTAGGTTTTCAATGGAAAAAGTAAAAGTTACAGTGGATGAGAGAGAGAGAGAGAGAGAGTAGGTATTTCTCTCTAACTTGTAGGTATTTCTCTCAAAGCCCCGATTGAATCGTTTTTCCAAAACCAGTTGAACCAGGGTATCCTTCTTTCTTTATCCCGATCCAAGCCGATTGTAAAAAAAAAAAAAAAAAAAAAAAAAAAAAAAAAAAGGTACTTTACCGTAAAAAAAAAGTATTTCTTCACGTTAATACTATTAACTTTTAAAGTATTTACTTTTGTTATAAATTTATCCAAAGATCTTTTTTTAATAGTATTGGTTGTTTGTTGTTTTTTTTTTCACTACTAGATAAAAGTTTTATAGGCAACATGTTCTTAAATCAAACCTATAAAACAATGTTAATGACAAAAAAAGAAGTAAAGGATCATAATCGTTTTCCAGCAACAAAGATAAAGACTGAATCGTTTTTCAGGCTTCAGCGACAAATATTTATGAAGATATGATGCTGACTTTTCAACTTATCTACATAAATCATAAAGAAAGAACATAAAGAACATAAACTAACTTTTTATACTAGCATCAAAGAAGTGAATAACAATAATGAAATCTTACATTTTACTCAAATCATATTAACATGAATAAGAAATCAAGTTAACTCAAATCAGAAATCAAAATTGGTGAGACCGCCTAAAATCACATCAACACCGATACATGATTAATATTTTTGAATAAAGCATGGAATCAAATTATGAGCATCGATGTATTAAAAAAGATTGAAATCAGGAATATAATGCATAAATTGAAATCGAAAATTAGAAGGAAAATAAGAATTGATTTATTATGAATCATTTTTTTTGTTAACGGTGAAAAAATTAGAATTGATTTATGGTTAAAATCATTTTAACCTGATGCGCCTCCGGGTTTGCGTTCTATAGATTATAAGGATCGCTATTCCCTTGTTGATGTGGACAATCTAGATACAACAAACAAAAAATTGTAAGCTAATTGGTTGTGATGTGATCCCAGGCCAACGCCTCAATGATAAAGTCACAAAAGGGTTTCTTTACAATAAAGGCGATTTGTGGAATAACGAGGATACGAAAGTAATTGGGTATAATCGATTGAGCAGTGATCAGATCGAATGTGTGTGCCTTGTAGAGTGTTCTTCGTTCTATATTTATAGCCAATATTGAAGGGGACATGCTCTTTTCCTACACCAAGCATGTCTGCCATCATGTCGTATTAATGGTCGTACCCCCGAACGTACACTCATGTTTACTTGATAGTCATTTTTATAGCTGTGGTTCGTTGGTTTAAGGACTCATCAGTCAAACATCCTTATACATGGTGTTTTTTGTGAGTTCCTATGAACTGTTACACTGTTGTAATGTATTCTCGTACTTTATTCGTTATTTCATATGGTTCGTGTAGTTCATAAGAATCGAGCGTATTGAATGAAATCAGAGTATGAATTGAATCAAGAACACAAAACGTAAATATAATCTGTTTGGCTCCATTAATACTTCTGAAAGGATACAAGAGAATGAAAGAGTAAAGTACACCAAGTTCCAAAAGTTACTCTTACCCTAATATGTATCCTTATTTATAGGAACAACATAAGTAAACAAAAAGTACTGTTGAGAGAAAAACTTGAGAAACGCACTTGAACAAACATTAGAATAAGTTATATTGCGGAATAAAGTTTAACTCAAAGGATCATAAAGCTCAACAATACTAAGTTAGAGTTAGATAGTTAGATAATTAGTTGCGGAAATATAAGGAAATATAAATGACAACAAGTATTATATCAAGAAGACACTTAAGCTGATACTTAACGAGGATTACAATCAAACCAAGTCAGTAAGTGAGATAAGACTTAGAGTGATTAAGTCAAGACTGACTTGCTCCGAAGGAGAGATTACAATCTTAATATATCAGTTTAAGTTTTGTAGATCTTTTAGATTAAGAGAGTAAGGAGAGAATAAGTAAGATATGTGATTGAAGATAGATGTGTGTTCATTCAGAATAAGAGAACTCTATATATAGAGTCTCGAAGATTACAAGAGTCTAAATATGTCTAAAGTGGCCATGCAAGGCTCAGTGGATAAAACTGTCACACCCCAAAACCAAGAACGGCGGAAACGTTCTGGGGCGGAGGACGTTATGTAAAGTATCACAACACAGTAAATGTAAATAAGCAAACAACATCATCCATTGCATTAAATATATATAATTTTAATACAAGCGTGTTCTGTACAGGTTTTAGACACCAAAAATATAATGTGAATCAAAATAGTATGATGAGTCTTGAATGCGCTCTATCTTCTCAAAAGCTGGCATCGGTACCTGTCTACTGATGACCTGAGAATACAAGTTATTTTGAAAGAGTTTGTCAGCATTAAGCTGGTGAGTTCATAAGTATTTTAGTGTCGATGTTTGTTATCAAAACGTTCGAACCTGTCGTAAGTATAAGTTGTAAATTGTATATAAGTGTTTGTAAAAGTTTGAATTTCTCAGAAAAACCTATATTTTCTATTAAAGTAGCCTTCTACCAGGGCTTAAATGTTTTGTATGCTCATTTGTTGTAAAAGTGTATAATTTCCCAAGTGTAACTATCATTTAGTAAAATATAGTTTGTACATTAATGTTTAAGTGAGGTTATCACTAAAAATATGTAATGGGTAAATCATTGTAGTACTGTAGTTTTGTATTATAGGAACTACTGCTGTACTAACTATCTTAAACCGGATTTATATTAAGGTATAATGTGATAATTGCACCATACTATCGACTAATAACAACGACATAAAGAACGGTCGTAATAATGGAATGACGTTTGGCACCCGCAGACTTGCAGGTCCGGCTGTAGCTAGCAGAACGGTCGTAATAACGGAATGACGTTTGGCACCCCCCCATAAAGTATTTAAACATTTAAAATCATTTCAAAGGTTGATTTAAGGGGTATGAACTCACCTGGAAGTTTGAAGATAGCGAGATGGAAAACCGGGCAGAGTTTCGTCTCGGGAAATGGATTTTTCTTGGGATTCTCGGGAATCTCGGGAGTAAAATCGACCCTCGGGACTTGAGCAAAAAGACCAGAGCTTCGGGTCTGAACGGGCACGGAAAACGAGGCAAGATCGTGAGAGAAAAAGAGAGAATGAGCAAAATTTTCGGAAAGCCTCGCATCCCTTTTATAGGGGTGCTGAACCGCCTCGGTACGCTGGGCGTACGAGGGTACGCAGCGCGTACCAGACGTCATCGCTTACGTATTTCGGATGGGGCAGGTCGGATGGGACGGGTCGGTAGCTTTGCATAGGGCGACGTGGACGATCCGAGGCCCTTGATTAGAGTACGTGGGGCGTATGAGGGTACGCAGGGCGTACTCCGGTCCTATCTGCTGACTCCCCTTCGGATATTACCAAGAATTTTTATTTAAATTTATATTTATTTTAAATAAACTTCTAAAATTCATATCTCCTTCATACGAACTCCGTTTTCGATGGTCTTTATATCTACGCGTAGGTGAGACTACGCTCTACAACTTTCGTTTAGGTTCCGTTGGCAAATTCCAAAGTTATTTTTATTATTTATTTATTAAAATGACGTGATTAAGGAATTTCTTTAAAAAATCATAACTTCTTTATCTGACGTCGGTTTTTGCCAGACTTTTTACCGCTGAAATACCATTGTCGAGACCTTCGATTCTCGTTTAGGTCATTCCGGCCAAAAGTCGCTCGATCTCCGATTCGAGTTTTTAGTTGTCTGTTGCTAAGCCGAACTTGGAAAAATGATAACTTCAATATACGAAGTCGGATTTAGGCGTTCTTTTTACGTACGATCATGGTTTAATGACATTTAAACATAGAAGAATTTAAATAGAAAATTTTTGGACATTTTATTATCAAAGTTAATTTTATTAACTCAAAAGTGGTTACAATACTTGATCTTTTAGGTCATTAAAAAGAGTTGAAATACCGGGTTGTCACATCATCCCCCCGTTAGAGGGAATTTCATCCCGAAATTTAAAGTAGTAAAGATACTGGTGAACATGAAAGAGATGAGGGTACTTTTGTTTCATCTGATCTTCGCGTTCCCATGTGAATTCAGGTCCCCACTTGGCGTTCCAACGAACCTTCACGATGGGGATGCGACTTTGCTTGGTTTGCTTGACCTCTCGGTCCATGATTTCTACTGGTTCCTCCACGAAGTTGAGGCTCTCATTGATGTCGATCTCGTCGAGTGGGATTACAAGAGTCTCGTCGGATAGACACTTTTTCAAGTTAGATACGTGGAATGTAGAATGTACGTTACGAAGTGTGCCTGGTAGGTCGAATTTGTAAGCTACGGGGCCGACTCTTGCAAGAATCTCGAAAGGTCCTATGTACCTCGGATTAAGCTTCCCACGCTTGCCGAAGCGTATCAGGCCCTTCCAGGGTGAGACTTTGAGAAGGACTCGGTCTCCCACCTGAAATTCCAAAGGTTTCCTTCGTTTATCAACGTAGCTCTTCTGTCGGTCTCTAGAGGCTTTCAATCGTTCACGGATCTGAACGATTTTCTCTGTCATTTCCCAAATGATCTCCGGACCGGTGAGAGTACTGTCGGAAGCTTACCCCCTGGCTAATTGGGTATCACCCACCTCAGCCCAGCACAGAGGGGATCTGCACTTTCGGCCGTAGAGAGCTTCAAATGGAGCATCCTTGATGCTCGTGTGATAACTGTTATTATAGGAAAACACGACAAGGGGTAAATGAGTATCCCATGCCTTCCCAAAGTCAATCACGTAGGCTCGCAACATATCTTCCAGAGTTTGGATGGTCCTCTCACTCTGTCCATCGGTTTGAGGATGGTAGGATGTGCTCATGTCCAGCCTTGTTCCTGGGGAATGTTGTAGTGATTGCCAAAATCTTGAGGTGAACCTACTATCTCTATCGGAGATAATGGACATAGGTACACCATGTAGCCGTACGATTTCCCTAATGTATGTTCTCGTAAGTTTCTCCATCTTGTCCGTTTCTTTGATAGGCAGGAAGTGTGCAGACTTGGTCAATCTATCAACGATGACCCATATGGTGTCAAGTCCACCCGCTGTCTTGGGGAACTTGGTTATGAAATCCATAGTGATCTGCTCCCACTTCCATTCCGGGATCTCTGGTTGTTGCAATAAACCAGAGGGCTACTGGTACTCGACCTTAACCTTTGCGCAAGTAAGGCATTTACTCACGAAGGTAGCAGTCTCTGCTTTCATATTAGGCCACCAATATAGCTTTTTAAGATCCAGATACATCTTATCTGAACCTGGGTGGACGGAATACCGAGTGTTGTGCGCCTCGGTCATGACCAAGTCTCGGAAACCACCGTGTTTCGGTGTCCAGATTCGGTTCATGAAATATAAGGCTCCGTCACCCTTGGCTTCTAAATTCTTGTCCATTCCTCTAAGGGATTCATTCGTCACATTTTCAGGTTTCATGGCTTCAAGTTGAGCCTCCTGAATTTGCTTAGACAAGTGTGAATGGATGGTTATTGACAATGACTTGACTTTGCGACCAGAATATTCCTTCCGACTTAGGGCGTCTACTACTACGTTGGCTTTACCCGGATGATAACGAATATCGCATTCGTAATCACTGAGTAGCTCGACCCACCGTCGTTGTCTCATGTTGAGCTCCTTTTGATCGTAAATGTGTTGCAAACTCTTGTGGTCGGTAAAGCTAGTGCTCTTCGTTCCATACAAGTAATGTCTCCAGATCTTCAGAGCAAACACCACTACTCCTAGTTCAAGATCGTGGGTCGTGTAGTTAACCTCGTGTGTCTTCAACTGTCTCGAGGCGTAGGCGATGACCTTACCTCGCTGCATCAGGACACATCCGAGCCCTTGATTCGATGCATCGCAATAGACTACGAAGTCTTCTATTCCTTCGGGAAGGGATAGTATTGGTGCGGTGCACAAGGCTCGTTTGAGCGTTTGGAACGCTCTTTCTTGTTTCTCTTCCCAGTCAAAGGCCACGCCTTTCTGGGTTAGGGTTGTAAGAGGTTTCGCTATTCGAGAGAAGTTCTGAATGAATCTGTGGTAGTAGCCAGCGAGACCTAGAAATTGACGAATTTCTGTAGGCGTCTTAGGTGCTGACCAGTTCTCAATGGCTTTAATTTTGGATGGGTCCACGTGGATTCCCTCTTCGCTTACCACGTGTCCTAAGAATTCGAC